CTAACTTTGTGGCATTCTCTTAGTTTACTGATATGAGAAGAAATTGGGGTGGGGGAAAGTGAGGCTACCCATGTTTATGCAGCATTGGACAATATGTAAGCATGCATATATCATATGAATTAGAATATATATTGACATACTCTATACCATTAGATATTTTATATAACATTTATAATATACATATGGTATATAATATTGAACAATATTTCCCAACATTAAATTAGCCAGAAGATGGTTCGGTTTGCAATTAGGGAGGTTTATTTCATCGCCTGCAAGGGGCTTCAAGGGAGGGTGACATTCAGGACTGTCACTTTGAAATCCTAATGACCCTGCAAACTAAAAGTTAGACCGCGATACCAGAAAAAGTAAGCTCTTCTCTACGTACATTGATTATTTTCCATAAGTCATAAAACAGTAGAAAACCAAAGAAAGAAAACTATATTTTTATATTCAGATTTCAGATTCATGCAGTGAGTATCTAATTGACTGGCCAACATCTTCTGATACCCTTTTAAAATTGACTATATAAAAGTCTAATATTCTTTTAGAAGACCCACAATTATACACACACACACACACACGCACACACAGATATATATATATATATATATATCTTTTCAGTATTATGCTTTTGCATAGATTTTGCTCAGCTGCTCATGATGACAGTCTTCTGAGAGATACCCTCCTCATTTTTCTGCTGAGAATCTATCAGGAAAACTAGTAAACCCTTATGAGAAACATAGATTAGCATGTTGTTGACTGCCACAAAATTCTTTACTCTCTCTAACCAAAATTTTCCAAGAAATGGTGGCCATTTAACCTTATCTGGTTTCTTTAATTAAAGATTATACGTTATATTTCTGTTATTTACAGCCACAGATCACAATGGTGTCTTGAAGAAGGCAGTTCTGTTGTTAATGAGATATGCATACCTGCTTAGTTTGTCTCATTCTCCATCACAAATCCATAACATTTAAGGATGCCCTAGTCAGCAGCCAACCCAGAAAACAGCAGGAACGCCTTTGGAGTAAAGTAAAATTTAGCAAAGGGAATTGACTTATTTTTATTATGTAAACCTTTCCCCTTTTTTTGGATTTTTATGACCCTGCATACATAATAAAATTCTATACATGTACTTTATTTTTTCAAAAATGACAAAATGGTAATAGAAGAATGTAGGATCCTTTTCTTTTTTTGGGGGGGGTGGGACGGAGTTTCGCTCTTGTTACCCAGGCTGGAGTGCAATGGCGCGATCTCGACTCACCATAACCTCCGCCTCCTGGGTTCAGGCAATTCTCCTGCCTCAGCCTCCTGAGTAGCTGGGATTACAGGCACACACCACCGTGCCCAGCTAATTTTTCATATTTTTAGTAGAGACGGTGTTTCACCATGTTGACCAGGATGGTCTCGATCTCTTGACCTCGTGATCCACCCGCCTCGGCCTCCCAATAGGATCCTTTTCAACTCTGCTTAAGATTAAGACGTCCCAGTGTGAAATCTTGATGTGCCCACTACTTTAAGCACTACCCTGTAAACATTCACCGTTGACTCCAAACATGCTGAAGAAGCCAGGCTGCCAGCATGCAGGTGTTCAGAGCTGCCTCCCGATTCTACCTGAGGGCTTTACCCAGGGCTGAATTCCCTGTTGCCGTCTAAAGCCCAGGACTCAGTGAGAAAAAAGAGAAGTGAATTGGATAGTAGACATTTACCATACTCCTCTATTAAAATTCAGGGGGCAAATGGGCCTTTTAATTGAACACAGACGCAGGAAACTGGAGACATAAAGTATTCATTTTCTCCAGCTTGAAAGTTTATATCGGAAGTTCCTATATTTCTTGCAAAATATTGCTATTTAGCACGTGAAGTCTGATGGTTTCAGAAAGTAAGAATTAGGTGTTCCTTTGATCTAGCTTATAAGTGCATCCAAACCACACCTTGAAGATGATAATGCTTCTCATTTCCCCTGTGCCTTGGTGTTACAACTCTCCAGCATCGTGGTGAGCCTGAGGGTCAAGACCCCTACCAAGGCGATAACGTTCCTACTTATTCCCAAGAACACACACGTGGGAAGAGTGGAATGGGCTCTTCCCCCATCCTCCAGCATTAAACTCAGCCCTGAGACTCCCAGAGCTTAGAAAATAGCTTAGAGTGAAGAATTGCTTTCTCTCAGAATTATGCCTGAACACTTCTGCTAAAGCAGAGAGTCATCAGTTAATCTCTGTAAATGACTGCGATTTTGGCAGGTGTCAGCTGGTATAGAAATTGCTCACAAGTTAAAGCTCTTATTTCTAAGTATATAGTAATGGGGCAGTACTAATTAAAACAAAAAGCAAAGAAACAAACTCACGTTGTGCCTGGTCACAGGACTTTTACTTGAAATGATGATTCCTGTTGGGTGTCTTCATGGCACAGGTCCCCACGCTTGGTGGCTAAGAGAGACACAACAGGCAAGAGTCTTTCTTCCAAGACTGGCTGTAGACTCTACCACACCAAGTGCCATGTATTCAGAATGACCTCACTCACATCCCTTCCCTGGGTTACCCACTGTCCTTGACACAGTGTTCTTCAAAAATGCCACTAAGTGCCCAAGGAATGTGAAGTTTTGAAATCAGTACAAAACCCGCTGGCAGGCTTTGCCGACTGGCATTCTTTCTGAGGCAGGTCTCTACAATAATTTTTCCTGCCTTCTTATTTTCCCAACTCATAATGCCAGGCATTAGACTGTGGTAGGCAGTTAAAAGGCTGAAGTTTTTTTTGTTTTTTTGTTTTTTGAGATGGAGTCTCGTTCTGTTGCCCAGGTCGGAGTGCAGTGGCACCATCTCGGCTCACTGCATGCTCCGCCTCCCAGGTTAAAGTGATTCTCCTGCCTCAGCCTCCTGAGTAGCTGGGACTACAGGCACCTGCCACCACACCTGGCCAATCTTTTGTATTTTTAGTAGAGATGGGGTTTCACCATGTTAGCCAAGATGGTCTCTATCTCCGGACCTTGTGATCCGCCCACCTCGGCCTCCCAAAGTGCTAGGATTACAGGCATGAGCCACCGCAAAGGGCTGAGTTATTATGTTTCGAATGGGTGTTCCATTGGAATCGTTTGTTTTTCTGCAAGAAAACTGCAGATTTTTCAGTTTGATCGTCAGGAAGTCAACTCTCTATGGTGGAGATAAGAGGAGGGAGGAGCTAGGAAGGCTTCATCCAGAGGCACTGAATCACACCGTGACTGACCAACACAGAGCGTTGTAGAAAAAGACATTTTCATACTTCTGAGCGAAAGAAATGATGACGGTTGCTCAGGACCTGGCCCCATGGCCTTTCATCCACAAAGCTGGTGCTTAAAATACCAGAAGAGGCCTCCCACATGTGTTGCTGAGCCTGTGTGACTCAGGCTGTTTGCATTCAAGTCCTGTGTTGTGGGCTGGAGCTGAATCAGAGTCCAGATTTGCCTTGGTGACACATGACAAAAGGGAGCATTGCATTTGAACTACACAAATATTATGCTTAAGTACTTTTCCTCATTTTGGAGCCAAACAGGTCTTGTTAATGATAAAATCACTGCATTATAGTGGGCCCTTTTTTCTGGTCTGGAATTTGAGACAGTGTCAACTGTGCCAAGGGGCCTGGCAGCAGGAAGAAATGGCCAGGCCTGGAGATTTGCAGCCATCGTGCAAGTTATACCATTTAATTTTATAATCGTGGCCATCGGGAGCTGGACTACAGTGCACTTCTCGTGGCCCACTCTTATTCCAGGCCACGGGAGTGGAATCAAGGGGACCTCTTTCTAGTCTAGGATTGGGTGAGGGCATGGGAAAGAGCACTTTATGGGGGCAGTGGGCAGGCTGCTTCTCAACCTGGCTTTGAGGCCACTTGACAATAGGGAACAGGTTGTGCAATTGATCAAGGACTCTTTATTGGAACCACAGGGCTGAGGAAGCAGCTGTAGGAGGCCTGAGCCATTCACTTAGAAGTAAATGGCTCAGGCCTCCTACAGCTACATCCCTACCTTGGACCCTCAGCTCTGCTTGACAGGACTGACTCTGGTTTAAGGACATCTTGAGAGAACTGTAGGCCCCAGTCCCCTGTAAGTGGCCTCTGCTTGCTGCTTCCTGGTGATAGTTGTTTTGGTGAAGAGCATGATGAGGACACTTGCTATCTATATAGACACTGAGGGACCCACCATCCTACCCTGGAGTCCTGAGCTCTCCCACTCTCCAGATGGGCTGCAGCTACCTCTGGGCTCCTGTGGGTCTATTCTGTTGGGAATATTGGACAAGTCACAGGCGAGGCCTTCCTGTCAACTTTTTCTCAGGGGTACAGAGGGGAGTCAGCTTCAGGGAAGAAGGAATGCTTGTGAAAAGCCTGTGAGGAGAAGAGGGAGAGGGAGAGGGAGAGGGGCTGAGGATGCCCTGTGTGTACCTGGAAATATGACCTCCCCAGGGGCTGTGGGTTTGCAGCCATGCCTCATTTCCTCTTCGAGGGGGCCCTGCCACTAAGCTCCTGGGCCCACTTTGCTGCCTCTAAAACTTGCACGTGGTTGGGTTTGCAGTAAGGAACAGCCGTTCTGATGCCCGTGGGAGACCACCTTTCCTGGCTGCCACAGCGTAGCCCCTGGCATGTGCTCATGTGCCAACAATTAATGCACCTCTTTCCCTCCTGGCATCATCACCACCACCATGCTCTATATCTCCCTGAGTTCTGCCCAGTGGAAGTTGGTGTAGAGGGTTGGGGAGGGTGCTGAGGCCCAGACTGGGGTAGCACTCTGTGGCCAGGGTGGTGAAAGGGGGCCCATTCTGCTGAGAGGACAGTGGCCCTAAATTCCCACTGGCAGCTAGCCCAATGGGCAGATCTCTAGCGAGTCTCTGTTGGGGTGAGGGAAGAGAGAGGGGAAAGACAAGCAAAGCCCCAATTTTAGGAAATCCACAATACATTTTCTGATCTCTTCCCTCCCTCCTTCCCTGCCTCCCTTCCCTCTTCCCATCCCCTCCCCTCCCTGCTCCCCACAATAGGACATCGGCAGAAACTAGATGATCAGCCCAAGCCTGGGAGCTTGTCCTTTTCCGAGCGGCTCAGTGAACTGGAGCAGCTGCGGCGCACAGCCATGAGGGTCAGCCCACACCACCCAGCCCCCACGCCCAACCCTCGTGCCTCCCTGAACCACTCCACTGCCTTTAACCCTCAGCCTCAGAGTCAGATGCAGGGTAAGTACCAGACGGAGCCCACTGCCCGCCTTTCCTGCACCTGGGCCACCACCCACAGTCAAATCTCGTGTGCAAAAACCCTCCCAGACCAACTGGGATTTTCCCCTTGATGCTGAGCGAGAGGCCTCAAACCAACAGCACCACCTGGGAGCTGTTAGAAATGCAGAGTCTTGGGCCCCAGCTCAGGCCCACTGAGTCACATCTGCATTGTAACCAGATCCCCACAAGGAGAAGCATGGCTGCAGAGGATATGCCGGAGCTCTGGGTGTGGATATCCATATTGGATAGATAGCTCTCTTGAATTTTTTAAGAGTTAGCTTTGGCTATGCTATTTTTTTACCTACCCATTAGGCTTGAACACACACACACACACACACACACACGTCAAGCAAGGTGAAGATGGGGATGTTTCAGGTTCTTTTTATCGCCAGATTATTTGTGGAATTTGTATCTAACTTTTTTATTATTAAGAAATAGAAATGTATGGATGCCATCACATCAAGAGTCTCATTTGCAAATCAATATCGAATGCAGGTCCCCCATCCCATGGGGCGAGCTGGCAATTCCAAAAGCACTGTAAAATGCAGTAATTGCCTCAGGCCCACTGCGCCAAATTAGATAATACAAGAAGTTCATTTACACTGTAGAACCTCTGACGTCAATGACTGTTTGCTCTGTGATACCGTTTCAAAAATCCAAAATGCAGACTTTTCTCTGTGCCATGCAGGATGCAGCTGTATGTGATATGGTTTACAGTAATAGTTCTTTCTCCAAGTAGCAGGCTTGTTAAGGAACAGATAAGCAACACATCTGGAGAAAAGGGCAGGTGGCCAGCAGCAGATGTGGTGGCTCCTTGCCCCTCTCGGACAGCAGGAATTAGCTTCCCCGGGAATTTTCTGTATGCGAGTTGTACTGTGGGGTGTATAAGTGTCATCTGTCCCTTTGAGTTTCCAGGCAGGTAGTTCTCTTTTTGGGTGAAAACATGGGTTCTCAAAAGGCATCCCCAGTGTCTCCCACAGAGCTTGACCGCCCACGCCATTAGCTCTCACAGTTAGGTTTCTGGGGAGGTTCTTTGACTTCATTGGAAAGTTTCCAGATAAATCTTCCCAGAAGAGACTATGCACACAGCTAAGTGGCCTGTGGAGTAGCCCTTTTGTAAACAAACAGAAAGAAACCTAAAGCTTGATGTTTTCGGGGGCTGCCTCTCATCGATAGATTCATTTAGATGTATTTAGGAAGAGGACCCATGAGACAATTGGTTTCCTACTACATAATAATTATAAATAATGATTTAAAATGTACACATTGATTTTTTTAAATTCCAAAGTACAAGTGTAGATGGTAAATTAGGTCAAATTACCATTTGTTAAGTAAGCGAGATGGGCTTGGAGTGAAACAATACCTTGTTTCCAAAGAGGGTATAACTATAAAGCAGATTCTTTCATCTTGCCTTTAAGTTCATTTACACTAATTCACCTCATCTTCAGTAAACGAATTCACATCAGCCACTCGTGTGTAAAATCCAAAGGAAGCCTCTGTTTTCTTAGTTTCTCATTGCATAACTGGCCATTTATATTACTAGGTTGATGAACGGATTGCCTTTTACTGCTGATATAGAAACAAAAAGTCTTAAGCATTTTTAAAGGCAATGGAAAATTCAGCCACATGAGGGAAAATTGAAATTGTCACCACTGAGTTGCCCTGTCTTTTGCTGACAAGGGAATCTAATCTGATTTCCTTCTTCATCAGATATGCCTCTTTACTAAAAGAAGAAAAAAATGGGGGCAATTGCACATTGAATTCTCATCCTCTGAAGCTGCTGGGCGAAAGCATTATTATGGACTCTGCAGCGGGCACTCATCAGCTCTTTGGAGTCCTGTATGCTAAGCAGAGTGTCAGGTTTAACACCAAGCATCACCCCTTTTTTTTCCTTTTGAAAATGTTTCATTTCTGTAACATTTAAGAAATCATGACTCGATTTTAGGGTTCCCTAGGGGCTTGGTTGCTACTCTCAAGAATGTGTGAACTATATTGCTAGGGTTGTTTCTTTCCAAAATATGAATTCGATATTCAGTACTTGACTTGTAAAATTGTAGGAACAACTTTTAAAAAATAAGCATCCAGAATATTTTCATGTGAAACGACTTTTTCTTTCGTTCTTTCTTTCCTATAAGAAAATGCTGTTTTATACTAATCATGTTTTGAATAGACCCCTGGGCTTTTTCTCTTGAAATTGGAAAGTTAACAGGCATAATATGCAAGTCTTGGTCAGCCAAGACCTTCAGTTTGTTCTTGACATGGAGGAAAATGCTTATTTTCCAGGCTTAGCCCTGAAGTTTCTGTATTTATGAAGATACTTTAAGAAATAGAGCATGTGTTTATGGCTCCCTTTGAAATGGCAGTGGTAGTTTTAAGAAAAATATCCAAGTTGTCAGAGCAGTTCTACAGCAGTGCTGTCCAGATGCGTGAATGTTTGCCAGTTTTGCAGAAATGTCAGTAACTGGGGGCTTGGAGAGCTTGCTGGGATTTATGCAGAGGCTCAGGAACCGTACCTTGCTAGGACTTTACTGGAAGAGTTATGCCAGCTCCTCTAACTCTGTCAGCAAGAAAACACTGATATAGAATAGCACCAATACTTACCTAGAATCACATGTGCTGGAGGGTCACTCAAAACAGACATCTCAAATGATCTGAAGCACAGTACAGGTTGCCATGCCACTACACCAATGTTTATTTATTGAGGTCTTAACTATTGAAGGGCTGACGTTTATTTCAACTTCCTATTTTACCCGCTTTTATAATTGAATAGAAAGCCATTTCGGGGGCCGGGCGTGGTGGCTCACGCCTGTAATCCCAGCACTTTGGGAGGCCGAGGCGGGTGGATCACGATGTCAACAGATCGAGACCATCCTGGTCAACATGGTGAAACCCCGTCTCTACTAAAAATACAACAACAAAAAAAATTAGCTGGGCATAGTGGCGCGTGCCTGTAATCCCAGCTACTCAGGAGGCTGAGGCAGGAGAATTGTCTGAACCCAGGAGGCGGAGGTTACAGTGAGCCGAGATCGCACCATTGCACTCCAGTCTGGGTAAACAAGAGTGAAACTCCGTCTCAAAAAAAAAAAAAAAGAAAGCCATTTTGTCATGAGTAGCCTTGAGCTACACATTTTCACCAGTTAAGATACCATTGTTAACTTCTACGATCAAATCTTAGAATCCCTTTTTAATTTCTTTCAAAAGATGGAACAGGGAAGATTCTAGAGCTGGTAGTACCAATGCCTCTCCAGACACAACTCCCACCTAGAGATGGCTTTGGGCAACCCAAGGAAGTGATTTTAAAATTTCACCCCTGATTGACCAAATATGATGTATCACATTTAAGGTGTCGTAATTCCCTCCTTTCCGGGAATATGAAGATGGAGTAATAGACGCTGGTACAGAAAACTGAAACCTAGATAAACTAGGAAGTCCGTTCTGTTGCTCTGCATGTTGGTTGCCATAAACATGTAGGCAGAAGGTTTGACTCTGACTGGAGCAGTTGTGAGCTATTTTGACATGGGGCAGTTATTTGTACACATTATTCCATTCCCTCAACAATCCTTTGGTATGGTTTATAAACAGAGAAATCGAACTTCCGAGGTTAAAAGTTACCCAGTATCCAAAGATTATAAGTGATTGGACACAAACCCAGACCTTCTGGGGTGCCAGGCCAATGCAGGTGGGGTGGCCGTTCCCTGGGCATGCGCTCTTTGGTCAAGGATCGATTTACTACAGGGCTGGCCAGTGTCGAGAAGAATCCCAGTCACCAGAGGAGAGGTGGAAGAAGTGCTGGGCTATTCACTCACTTGGCAGTCCTATATTGAACGGGTTCTATTATAAGTTGATAAGAAGAAGAAGAACTTTGGGGCCAGGCTCTATGGTGGGCACCTTAATAAACTATCTCCTTTGGTACATGTGCAGTTGTTGATAAAGTTTGGGAGAAAAGAAAACTCAGAATAATGAATCTCTAAATAAGAGTGAAAGAGGGGTGAATAAGCAGGGAGAAGGCTCACCAGCCACTATGTTGACTTACTGAGGTCTTTACCTTCCTACTTTTGAAGTCCATTGAGACCAAGTGCTTATCATCCAAACCCGGTCAACATAGATCCACTTTGATGAGTGTGCGTCCTCATTTTGAGAGTTCCATATGGCCAAGGGGGACCCCTGACCTCTCAAATCATCTCCTGATTTTTTTAGTATTCCAAGTAACTTTTGTCTTGCTAATCATTTTCTCCCCAAATTAAAGTTACTTAGGAAAGACTATCTTCTGGTGTTGCTGGCTGTCTATAAAACTCTGAGATATTGAATGGACTCTGTTTCTCAGTTGTATGGAGTTATTTAAATCAGTCTGATTCTCTCTTTATCATCTGGATAGACAAAAGGAGGAAAACCTTTCCACCTTCCTGTAGGAGGAGGAGATAAATGCTCTTTCCAGCCTTGGATATAAAATATCCAACTGCATTACATTGCTTTCCTGTCTCTCTCTCTCTCTCTCTCTCTCTCTCTCTCTCTCTCTCTCTCTCTCTCTCTCTGTCTCCCCCCTTCCCTCTCTTCTTACTCTTCTAGCAATTTGAAGCATAAAATCAAAGCGGGTAGGGGCTATTTGATTACCTTGGAAGTGGAGGCTACAATCAAACACCAGAAATCCTCATATGTAAATCTATAAATGATCATTTAATGGTTACACAAAGTAGCATATTCTGAGTGTGAGAAATTAATAAACAAGAAAGGTGAATTATTTTATTCAAAAATGACTATTAACTTGATGTATTTGGGTATGAAAGCCTTCCTAGGTCTACAGCATTAGGATCTTACCCTGAAAACAAGCCTGCATCAGGTGTTCACATGAATAAATAAAAATAATTAAAGGAAAAAAGGGAGAGAGAAAAAAAGGAAACCCAATGAGATGACTGCAGGGTGTAGAGCCCTCTGTTGGCTTGTGGAGTGCGAGCTGCCTCCTG